ATTCTATATTACTTTATTATATATAACTTATAATTATAGTATTATCAATAAACATATTTTTCCTATGACTTGTTTATATTCATTGTTTTTTTATGTGCTTTTAACACTTTTCATATGAAGCCTATTTCAAATTCACATAGACAGAGACTTTGACATTTATATATAAATTTTAATGGATAACAAAATGATAGCATCAAAACATGGCCACCTTTGTTAACTGTCTTTAATTTTACAAAATTCCGCTGCTTTAAATTATGGATTGAGCAACACACAATTACAAGTCTGAGTTACACAGAGCCTCTGAGCCATCCATTACTTATAAAGCAATGCAAATAATCTAGTGTATGTGGTGCAAACAGAACGCTGTAGAGCTCCACTACAATAGGCCAACGCTATATTGAACTGTACACGTTTTAATCAGGTCAATAACTGACTAGTGTGTGACTGAGGTTCAAGGCATTACATTCCCTTGTGATAAGGATCGTGTCATCTCAGTGTGAACGAAGAAGGTTTTGAGATCCCCTTTGCCCTTCACATTGATGATCCCTCGACAGGAACACATGTAGCCCAATGTCTGCAAGATCCGACTCGTCTCCTCTGTGACCTGTGGAAGGAAGCACACTAGATGTGATCCACTGAAAAACCCATTAACAATTCACCAGGCTTGCAAGTAGGTCAGAACAAGGATCGACCTGGATTTTCCCAAGCACCCCTGTGCTTTCCATCCTACTGGCTACATTCACAGTGTTCCCCCAGATATCGTACTGCGGTTTCTGTGCTCCGATTACTCCTGCAATTACTGGGCCATGGTTTATTCCTGGTGAGAGAAAAGCCGGAACATTTGAAACATCCCGAATGTGTGCTAAATCTCTACCACAGGCTATTATGAGACTTATTAGGAAAGGCAAACAAAATGTTACCGGGTGTAAAAGTGCTAACGGGCCCTGCTTACCCACTCGCAGCTTGAAGTCATTAAAGGAATGTTTGTTGATGACGTCAAGCTTCCCGACCAAAGCAAACGCAAACTCCACCATTGTTCCAATGTGCATGTACTGCCGGTCGTGGTCCTTCAGAATAAGAACAAGGAACTCAGTACCCGGAGACTCTCAAGTGAGACGTTTCAAGCCCAAATCAAGCTTTTAGCATCACAGGCAGGTCCTACAATAGGTCTTATGAGACTCTGAAATCAATTAAGTGTTATCTTTACTAGAATTCTAATTTTGGACCAAACACAAGAGCTCCAATTTGTACCTGCGCATACTCTGGTCCAGGGGTCACATTCAGCCCCGTAGCAGCCATGTATGTGCTGCCAATAGTTTTGATCTTCTCCACGCCACTGAATTTGGGTTTTGACAGCAACTGCAAACCCCCCCCCCCACCCCCAAAAAAAAGCATTAAGAAGAGAAGATATGTTAATGTATTTGATCTTGGCAGACTAGATCTGATGTTGCTTCTGCTGCTGCTGAAGTATAGACTTCATACAGCCAATACACTCTTTACTGGCATCTATGCTTCTATAAAGAACCTTTAACATCCATGGAACCTTTCAACTGCACAGAAAGTTCTTTATAGTGGAAAAAGTTTCTTCAGATCATTAAAATGTTAAGACTAAAGGTCTTTGCACACTGAGTCCGAAACTTTCGTATGCGTTTTTCCATTTTACCGGTGGTGCTGGGGGAGGTGGAGGGTTTCAAAGGAACTCTGATAGCGCTGCAGGATCAGCGTACAGAAAACACTGAACCAGACATTTAGAATGTTGAGCAAGCAACCTTATTGGCTGCAGAATCAGCAGAGGCTTGTGCCTTGTAGCAAATTATGTGATTGCTAGCAGACTGCATGTATAGGACCTATCATGTTGCTCTGTTTAGATTTGTACTGTATTTGCAGCCTTTAAAAATAATCAAAAAGAACATGAAAACTAGTATGATTTCATTTATATGAGTAAAACTCAGTGGACGTTATTTGATCCTTTGTTTAGGACCTGCCCACATTTTTACTGTTACTATGACAAGCTTTCAAACTAGAACTTGGTTCTGCTATTAAAGTAAGTATTACATAAATGCTCTTATCTCAAAAGCCAGCCTTTTGACTAGTCTGATCCACTTTTCAGCTTATTCCAGCCAAGAACCGCCCACCTAAACTGGAAGAGACCGTATAATCGTCATGTAAAGCACCCAGAGTTCATTTTATTTTTATGTGCCATTTATGGGTGGATTTATCTGAAACTGCTGATACCACAAAGACTTCTTTATCAAAGGCAGAATTTTTCTCTATCCATTCCAACTTTTAATGTTTTAACACTGTAATGCGCTATTTTTAGTTAATTTCAGTCTGAAACCATCCAAAGGACCCGAATAGGCGTACATTACATAAGATCAATTGTTTGTCTGGCAGTATGTCAGTATAATTTTTAAAGCAGGGCTTAAGGAAGGATCAGTTATCGCAGATGGCGTATATATCTTCACAAGTACTTTAGTGTAGCTTTCACAGCATCTGAAATCAAAATAGGATTGTGTCCATGGCCGTAGCCAGCAAATGAGGTCACTGAGGTCCGGACCTCAAAAATAACATTTGTTCTCTGAATGACTAATGTTACTGTTTAAAACTCATCATATGAGTGTCTGCATGTGCATGTATAATTAAGTTTAGACAATTTGCAAGAATGTTTAGCATCCGTGGTATGAAAATGATTGCTGCGAGACGCTGGCGGAGCGAACGAGGCTTGAGAGAGTGAGGGCACGGGTGCAGCCTCCAATGAGTTGCCAGATCCAGCTATTATAAGCATCTTTAGACTTGTCTTTTCTACTTAATTTCTCCAAACGCAGTCCTGGAGGGCCGGTGTCCGGCAGAGTTTAAACACACCTGACCAGGCTATTCAGTGTCTTACTAGGCACACTAGAAACTTCCAGGCAGGTGTGTTGAGAGCTAAACTCTGCAGGACCGAGTTTGGACACCCCTGCTTTATAAAGTAAGAAGTTGCAGTTTAGTATAATTTAACAATGTTCCTCCCTCCAAAACAGAGAAAACATCTTTCACAAACATCTACATGTCTGTCTCTTTTAAAGTGTTAGTGTATATAATGTAGGGGTTATAATAGCACAATCCTTAACCCCACCCCGGACCTAATTTTCAAACCCTGGTTATGGCCATGGTTGTATCTGTGAGTTTACCTCATCAAAATCTGCTATAATCTCATTAAGGAGCCTGAGGCACTCCAATCCCTCCTTATTAACATCCGATTCTGTGTAAAATTCCTTGAAGTCTGGGATGGAGGCGAACATCACACATACCAGATCATACGACTGATGGTAGAGATCCTGTCAAAAATACAGCATACAAAAATATATCTGGTGATAAAGACACAATAGATGCACTTTTCACTGGTGTTTTTGGACATCTGGACGCCATTCACCTCATTCTTCCAGTTCCTCCCCAGGAAATGTTCTGCCACATGGGCAGGCAGTACGTTTTCCAAAAGCACCCGGTTTAGGTTCTCCATGGTCTCAATCTCCTCACACTCCCTCTTAAACTTGTTCCTCCACAGGAAGTCTAACCTACAGTAATATTCATTCTGTTACAAGAGGACACAGAGGTAAAGAGATGGTACACATCTGATCACCATAATGTGGCTTTCAAGATGACAAAGAAAGCAGAATCAAATGCACACAAGGACAGTTCATTATTTTTATGGATTTTTCTTGCATAAAGGGCTGCTATCATGAAAAATTGCTTCAATTTTCTCTGAGTTGTAGCTTTTGTGTTCTAGCAGACATTCATCATGAAAAAGATTTCTTGAATCAGTGGAAATGGCACATTGAAAGGCATTAAGTATGCACTGATAGTCTTCCTCACTCAGTCTATATTTGCTTTTGCTTATTTTTGTGTGTGTTCATTGCTTTGGAGAAAAATCAGTCCCTGGCTTACCTATCACCTGATCAACCTGAACACCGCATTACTTATAAATGAATTCACCTAACTGCACATTTCAAATACAGAGTTCATCAGACAGGCCTATTATCAAGGGACAAATAGCCTCTCATAACAGAATTAAAAGCACACACTGAAAAAAATCAGATCCGCGGCCGACCTGTAGAGATAAGGTTTCAATCCAGACTGAAATACATACAATTCTCTCTATATTGTACTGTGAAGAAATCATTTCTTAAAGTGGTATTTATTAAATGCTTTTTTGCAGGAAAGCTTTGTGTTATTCTGCAGCCAGAGGCTGATGAGTGCTGATAATAACTGAAGCCATAGAAATTGGGAACACATTTGTGCTGCAACAAAACTCTGAGCTTAATCGTAAAATTACTTCTGAAAAATTCACATTTCAAGGTAAGAAGTGACTGTTTCTAGATTAGGCTAACATCTATTATTAAATTGTCATAGAATTAACATTCAGCCATCTTTTACAATTTAATCAATTGAATAACTGATTAATTAAAGGAAAGTACTGTATAAATTAAGCTCATTATGCCAATTACCACACAATTACAATGGTAGTACATTCTGGAGACTTAAAAAGCAAAAATGTGATGCTTTTATTTTTGTTCAAAGGCTTATATTAACTTTTCTGTAAAAAAAAAAAAAAGTAAGTTATGTAAGCCGAGTAAATTTGTTTAAAATGTCATTTCAGAGGTGAAACTAAAACATGCATTACTGCTGTAATTCTTGTTGGTGGATTTTTCTCACTATACCTCCAAGATCAAAGTAAAGTGAGTCTTAAAGGAATAGTTCATCCAAAAATTTAAACTGACTCACCCTCAGGTCATCCGAGATGTAGATGAGTCTGTTTCTTCATCACAACAGATTTAGAGAAATTTAGCATTATATCACTTGCTCACCAATGGATCCTCTGCAGCAGTACATTCTGGAGACTTAAAAAGCAAAAATGTGATGCTTTTATTTTTGTTCAAAGGCTTATATTAACTTTTCTGTAAAAAAAAAAAAAAAAGTAAGTTATGTAAGCCGAGTAAATTTGTTTAAAATGTCATTTCAGAGGTGAAACTAAAACATGCATTACTGCTGTAATTCTTGTTGGTGGATTTTTCTCACTATACCTCCAAGATCAAAGTAAAGTGAGTCTTAAAGGAATAGTTCATCCAAAAATTTAAACTGACTCACCCTCAGGTCATCCGAGATGTAGATGAGTCTGTTTCTTCATCACAACAGATTTAGAGAAATTTAGCATTATATCACTTGCTCACCAATGGATCCTCTGCAGTGAATGGGTGCTGTCAGAATGAGAGTCCAAACAGCTAATAAAAAAGTCCATATAATTCACACCACTCCAGTCCAACAGTTAACATCTTGTGAAGCGAAAAGCTTCATGTTTATAATAAACAAATCCATCATTAAGGCATTTAAGCTATCACTTCTGGCCAAAATACCAGTCCATAATAATGCTTCCTCCAGTGAAAAGTCCATCTCCTGTTGTCCTCTCACATCAAAATCCACCCACATATTTGTTTAGAATGTGTTTGGACTGTCTTTTCTTGTAAACGGTGCTTGATCAGTGCATATTTCTCTCCTGATTCAGACAAGATGACTTGTCCACTGGAGAAAGCAACATTAAGGATAGAGGACTATTTGAAGTTAAAAACGCCTCGATGGATTTGTTTCTTACAAACACACAGCTTTTCACTTCACAAGACGTTAACTGATGGACTGGAGTGGTGTGGATTACTTGTGGATTATTGTGATGTTTTTATCAGCTGTTTGGACTCTCATTCTGACGGCACCCATTCACTGCAGAGGATCTAATAGTGAGCAAGTCATGTAATGCTACTTTTCTACAAATCTATTCTGATGAAGAAACAAACTCATCTACATTTTGGATGGCCTGAGGATGAATACATTTTTAGCAAATTTTCATTTTGGAGTGAACTATTCCTGGATCAGTGGATCTCATTCCAAATATTTCAGCACAACTCTTTAGATTAACTTCTCAAAAACAAACAGTAAGTATAATAGCAGTGTTAAAGCACATCTTTATGAAGATTTCCGATTGAAAGAGACTCACCTGTCTCGCAAGCACAAGCAAAGTGACAAAGAAAATGAACAATGACACAGAGCCCATGGTCTTCAAATCTTTCAGAACACCTGGCCTGAGGAGGAACAGACAGAAATATAAACTTTAGAAGTCAAGAGGACACAAAAGTATTTTGTGTGTAGAGTAGGATATAGACGGGATACAGAGTTTTCAGCAACATTTTGTCAGTCTAACCTTACTCAGATTTATAATGTCCTAATGCTGTTTAGGCATAAATTGTCATAATGTTGCACGGGCAGTTGCAGTGGCCTGTTTGATCCATTACTTAATCTTGCTCCATTCAGAAAGGCTTAATGAGGCATGGAAAGGGGGAAAAAATTATAAAAGAAACAGAAAGAATAATACCAAAGGAAAGAATAATAATTATGAGAGAAATGCAATAGGCTTATGTTTAAAAATGTTTCTTGTCCAGCACTGTCAAATCCTTTGAAAATACTAATCCGCACACAGCCTGCCATCTCAACAGCAGCACCTGTCACTCATTATCCCTGGAGATATTGAGAGACCTTCTGGAAAAAATGGTCTCCACAGTTACCAAATGTATCTATGTGGCACAATTCTTCATTCTTTCGCTCACTGTATGTGTGCAATGGAAGAAGTGGCATCTACAAATAAAAAAAACCTCTGCAGATTATTTGTGACAATTTTGACACTGTATGTGGGAGCTTATGGGAATCCAGTACCGGTCCGTTTGCTGGGTCTTGTAGAGGGCCATGCTGTAATCATCCAGTACAGAGGCATGGGTCTGAAGGATGATGATATTATAACCCACTACAGCAGCAAGCATAATTATCATCTTCAGCTCATAGTTTATCCTCAGGAACACGGAGCATGAGATCAATCCCAGAATGCAGCTGTAGATGAAATACTGCCAGGGAAGAGAAAGCCAGTCAGATTCACATCTGTACATTCATCAGGGCCGATCAGTATCAATGAAAAGAGAACTATGAAGTTTTGATTTAAGTGCTAAGAATTGAATAACAGAACACACTTATCATGTGATGACCCTGAAATATTACAAAATGGATGTTACTAAGAAATGCAAAAAAAGTAATATACACCAAGAGTCTTATTTCCTAACCAATGCACTGTATCATTCTAGGAAAATGCTTGAGGATGCTTTTGTCCACCATCTTAATATCTGTAGAGATCTAATTTCATATATGCACTACAGAGCTCTCAGTGCATAACTATATTTTTCAGCTGTTAAATATCACTACAGAGTCGCCATACATAATCACGCACACAGTATAAAGTGACTTATTATATACTGACGCAAGCGTAGACAAATTGGTTTATCTCAGGACACTCACAATTCATCACAAGTCTGTTCCATCAAGGATACAGAGAACTTTTTTTAAAACCCAGATCTCAACAGAGGATTAACAACATGTTTTCATGTGGGTCTGTAAATAAAAGGTTATTCAGTTCACAATTTTTTATGAGAAGAGATTTGTGGGCAAAGACATGAGATAAGATTTATTATAACTTACTGGCAAGTAGAACTTGTTGTCTGAGGAGTCTGTGGTTTGACCATCTGGACCATCCATACTGTTGTTGGAAATGTTGAGTGGAGGTGATGCTACCATCCTATCTTCGCCTAAGAAGAACTTAAAACCCAACAGATGGAGAAAAACAAAATTTAGAGAATTATAAAGAAAGACATCATCATTCTTAGCTAAACACATCTGTTGCATTCTGTAACAAATATGTTTCTTAGAAGTTCACAACATTTTTTTTTACACAAGTGCAAAATTCAACAAAAATCAACGAGCTGCAAGCAGATGGGAAAAGCAGAGAAGATGAATAATTGCCAACTTTGGCAGAACAGAAGCTTCTGTGGATACAGTTTTTGTTTACTTGATGCAGGATTTAATTGAAAAGTTGCTGAAATATTTGACGCATGTTGATCTGTGGTGTTATGTGACTACTTAAATTAGTTTATTATAGAAATACAGTGGTGCAAAAATGTTTTGACACATTTAAGCCACAATTAAAAATGCATGACTGTCACCACAAGAGAACAAAATATCAACGTTTTAACAAGCCCAGCTGAACAGTGTAACATTTCATCGTAGATGTGTGAAACCGAAAACCCAAGTATTCAGTCACATTTCTCTTGTGTTTCTCTCCCACAGGGACAACAAATCACTTGAGCTCAGGGATAATATCATTAGATCCAAACTGGACCAGAGCCCTAGTACAGCGATGCTACAATGATGAATCCAACCAGACAGCTGACACTAATTCTACTCTGCCCTTTACAGTGAAACACCACAGATTCCATAGCTAAAGCCCTCCAACTGGGCCAAAAACTGGTGATTGATTTATCAGCCAACTGTCTAAATGAATGTGTCATGTAATATATTGTGTAAATACTGATAAGTTTATGTATCCTAGGAATGAAAATCATGCACCATTTAACAAAAAAGGTAACTGGCCTTTATATCATCGGTCTTATGTTGCAGTCTTCGACAAAAGTAAATCACTTGATAAGAGCTTAAATGCACCACCACACATGTATTTTCTTTCAATTATTTTGAAGGTAAATGGTGCCTATGTCACGTCAATTACTTGTGAGGTTCCTCAGGGTTCGGTACTTGGTCCCGTCCTATTTTCTATATATGCAAAACTGGGACTTATAGCAGAGTTTCAATAGTGTAGTGATATTTTGTAATATTATCTGGGGAAAATATCCTCTTATAGGTCACAGGAGGTTTGAAAAACTAGGCAAGAGCAAAAATTTTAACAGAACCCTTATTTCTAAAGAGTTTCTTGAATTACTGAACCATAAAGCCAGCAATCAGTTCATGATATTGACATAACCACAGCAAGCAGGGAATATTTCTCTTATGAACATGTTCATAATGAATTATATGTGAACATAATAAATGTCAGTCATTTTAAAAACAGTCCAATCTAGCTGACAGACCAGGTATTAAGTAGTAGTGATGCTCACCATATTGAATACAGCCATGACTAGGATAAGTGCAGTGGTTGCCATGGTGAGCGCAAGTCGTATCCAGGGCTTGTTGGTGATGACTTTAGAGGAGCCAGGGAGCCAGGGCATTGTGCAGGAGGCTGCTTTGCCCCATTGCTACGGCAACAAGAGAGAGAAAAAAACAAGCTTTACCTCCCACCAACATCATTAGCATATTTGCTTCTATTCCAAATGCTCAAGGTTATGATTGTGCACCACAAGTCAGAGACACATTAATAAACATAACTTCACAGTTAGTGAATATATAACAATAAAAAATCCATCTATATCAACTTTGAGATTAAGTCAACATGAAACGGCATTCACAATCCATTTTACTTACATAATTTCCATAAAAATCCAATTGACGAAATTAAGGACTCCTTCCCTTCTGAAACATAGCTGGTATAGTTTTTCTCCCCCCATAGAGTTTGATCCTCCTTGGATCCCAAAAGCAATTCCATTGGCTGAAACAACTTTTCCCATTGTTTGTGTTTTCAACTAGTATTTTCAATAAGATTAGTTTAGCATAGTAGCTTAGCATACCACTACTAGCACCCACTTTTGAGGCTTTTGCCTCTGAATGTTTTTATCTGAAATAAGACTTCATGGCCTTGAAGAAAGTGAGATCTGTTTGTAAAACTCATCCTGTACTGATTGCAATACTAATGTAATGTCTGTAGAGGCCGTGACCTTTAGTGAGTTTATGCTACATTGTCAGGATGAATATGAACGGAACTGCAGTGGAACAGCACTTTACAAAACACTTAACCTAGACCATGTGCAAGAATGCTTCAGGCTTAATTCAAAAAGAAGTAAAAGAGGTAGAGGAGTTAAAAAAAATAAAAAATAAAAATAGAAAAGTTACATCACCTATACAAAAAATAGCTTTCAATATTTAAACACAGCACTTCGACTGGATAACCTTTACCCCTCTTTCATATTTGTGAATCTGTGGGCCGAATGTGAACTCTCACATCAGTTAAATGGGAAACAAAACTGAGAGAGACTCTTAACTAAACTCCATAGAGCTCTAGTCACTCATGACTTTGACAGTTGTTTGTGAAACCAAAAGAGAGTCCTACCATAAAATAAATTCAAAATATAAGTGCCAGAGCTTTATAAAAATGGCCCCTCATACCCGCAATCCCCAAAACCATGGGGACTTGAGTTTGCTGCACAAAAATAGATAGCAAAAAACCCAGTAAAAAGTATCATCATTCGAGCTGCTTTTCTTTTGACACAAAAACAGAAAGAAAGAAAAAAGGTTTTTGGGATAATGCAAGGTTTCCATTAAGTGTGGCCTTTTTTTTTTATCATCGTGAATTCTAAATCTTCAACTGAAACAGCTTGGTTAATTAATGAACTGGGGACAAATCAAGTCGAGCTGGTGGGTGAATGGTATGCAAACCCTTCAAGTTCTCTGGAAGGTCGTACCTTCTAAAAATATAACTTTGATGCCTCAATACACAGAAAAACAGGTTACACTGATAATAGTAGGAATTCCATAGAGTGTATGAGGTTCAATCTTACACATGTCAAGGTCACCCCCCCCCCCCCCCCCCCCCCACACTGAAAAATAAATTACATTTTACATATAGAAATTCAAGCCTATTTTTAAAACTAACAATATTTTTAGTATTGTGACATTTTTGCATTACCAGCCCAAATTGTAATAAGCATTTTTTTCAGCAGTTTTCTCAAAGGTCATACTCATTGGATTCTAAGTACTGAAATACAGTACAATTTGATACTGGGAAATAGTTTGCGCAAAATCGTCCCAGTACTTTAGTACTGTACATTTAGTTCTGGAACTAAAGCGGTGCGAAAGGCCCTTATAATAACAGTTTTGTAATTTAAATTAAAAAAACATTTCAATAAAAATTAACACCGTACAACAAATACTAACATGATGTACACTACTGTCCAAAAGTTTGGAGTTGGTAAGATTTTTATATGTTTTTGAAAGAGGTCTCTTATGCTCAAAAAGGCTGCACTTATTTGATTAAAATTATGAAATACTATTACAATTTAAAATAACTGTTTTCTATTGTAATATATTGTAAAATGTAATTTATTCCTGTGATGCAATGCTCATCATTCAATCATTCTAATATTCTGAATTACTGCTCAATAAAAATGTCTTATTATTATCAATGTTGAAAACAGTTCTGCTGCTTAATATTTGTGTGGAATCCATAATACATTTTATTTCAGGATTCTTTGATGAACACAGTTTAAAAGTACAGCATTTTTTGAATAACGGAATAAAAGTATAACTATAAGTAAAAAAAATAAATAATTTAATGTAAATAATTTACAATTTAAATAATATTTGCTTGGTCATAAAAATAGGCTTAATTTTCATCAAGAAAACAACATTCCTTATTCATTTCTTTTGATTTTGGGGTGGAATATGACCAGAACATATTCATGACAGATTTCCAATGAGAGAATCTACAGGCCTTTGAATTCTGAATAAGCCATTTCACTCTAAGCTTTCATAATATAGTAAGAAAGAAAGAGCGGGAGAAAGAAAATAGAGAGACATACAGGTGACATTTACTTAAGCCATTTATGCTCCACAGGTCCAAAGTAGCTGGTAATTTGATTATAGACAACGCTCTCTAAGAGCTGAAAAAGAGTGTTGTTCCTCGGGTTAAAACAAGGAAATTTCAATCTTGTTTTGATATGGTGTTTTTTCCTCCCGGTATGGCATTTTCTCTAACAAGATGAGGGTCACAAATGTGCGGAAACCTCGACTTATTAAATGACATTTCAGTACAGTTATTTCCTTCATGGAAAATGGAAAAATATGTAACATGTCAACATCCGAATAGACTGAGTACACAAGCCAGCCTGCCTCATTCACTGGCAATTCACTCTCAAAGAAAGCTACTTCATATTTACTTCTACAAGTGCGAGCACCACTTACCAGTATGTGACCAGCAAAACAAATGGCGAGGATCAAGCCGAGCAGCAGGAAAGCCATTCCGTATGAAACTCCAAGGACGGTAGTTCTGTGAGAGACAAAATCATCAGATACACCAAAGCATATTTACTCATCATCCATGTATGCCTGCTTTAAATTTGTTTCTCACACGATCATCCAATCTTTATGCAATCTCTGACATGAAAAGAGCAGAAATAGATGTAATGCCATATATGGAGTTAATAACCAATGCCCAGCATGTTTGAATTTTGGTAGTTTTTTTTATTTTTGGTAGTACCTGTCTGTGTAAACCTTAAAGGGGTCCTATTATGCTCTTTTACAAAGTCTTGATTTTGTTTTGGGGGTGTACTAGAACAGGCTCTCATACTAGGTTGTTCAAAAAGCACATTATTTTTCACATATTTTACATTATTACAACACCTCTCTCCCCAGTCTGACATGAACAGCTCGAATAGTTCCTGTATCAAATGAAGGCCCGCCTTCTGAAATATGAAATGTGCTGTGATTGGTTAGCTGGGCCAGTGTGTGTTGTGATTGGTTAGCTGGGCCAGTGTGTGCTGTGATTGGTTAGCTGGGCCAGTGTGTGTTGTGATTGGTTAGCTGGGCCAGTGTGTGTTGTGATTGGTTAGCTGGGCCAGTGTGTGCTGTGATTGGTTAGCTGGGCCAGTGTGTGCTGTGATTGGTTAGCTGGGCCAGTGTGTGCTGTGATTGGTTAGCTGGGCCAGTGTGTGCTGTGATTGGTTAGCTGGGCCAGTGTGTGCTGTGATTGGTTAGCTGGGTGAAGGCAGGGAGATTTGTGGCTCTGTACTGTTAGAAGAAGGAAAAAAAAAGAAATATCTCAGCTTTCTTTTTTCAATAAGTCTTTTATCTGAGGTGTTTTTCTCACAATGAAGCACATACAGTATACATCTCAAGGTGGAATGTACCTCTTTTTCAAGTGTCTTATTATGAAAGAACAGAGATATCCTTTGAATGTCCTCTGACTTCAGCCACTGTCTGGTGGAAAGAAAGCATTAATTAAGTCATTTAATAACAATTAAATTCTCATTGTAACAATGAATCGCTATTATAGTAGCTTGTTGGGTGATATTGTAAAAAATATCTCAGCTTTCTTTTTTCAATAAGTCTTTTATCTGAGGTGTTTTTCTCACAATGAAGCACATACAGTACACATCTCAAGGTGGAATGTACCTCTTTTTCAAGTGTCTTATTATGAAAGAACAGAGATATCCTTTGAATGTCCTCTGACTTCAGCCACTGTCTGGTGGAAAGAAAGCATTAATTAAGTCATTTAATAACAATTAAATTCTCATTGTAACAATGAATCGCTATTATAGTAGCTTGTTGGGTGATATTGATGCAGGAAATGTTCTGAAAGTGAAACAAAAGGACAAATATGTGTTATATTGTATATTGAGCTCCAAATCGACCACTAATGAAAATGCTTCCATTTTACATTTTTCTATTTAATATAAATATAAATAATTATTTAATAAGTATTCATTTTAATTTTTATTATTTAATATTATATAAATAATTGCATTTGTTGAATTAATTTATTTGTTTTTATTTATTTTACTAAATACATTTTAAATGAAAATTATATAAATATATA